TCCACAGCAATAATACTCCCAGTAATGTGTCTGAGTGTATAACAGAGCTCCCTAGCAATAATACTCCCAGTAATGTGTCTGATTGTATCACAGAGCCCCACAGCAATATTACTCCCAGTAATGTGTCTGGGTGTATAACAGAGCTCCACAGCAATAATACTCCCAGTAATGTGTCTGAGTGTATAACAGAGCTCCACAGCAATAATACTCCCAGTAATGTGTCTGAGTGTATAACAGAGCTCCACAGCAATAATACTCCCAGTAATGTGTCTGAGTGTATAACAGAGCTCCACAGCAATAATACTCCCAGTAATGTGTCTGAGTGTATAACAGAGATCCACAGCAATAATACTCCCAGTAATGTGTCTGAGTGTATAACAGAGCCCCACAGCAATAATACTCCCAGTAATGTGTCTTTAAACTACAATAAAAGTATTTAGAAATCAGTCTGTGTAAATAAGATACATTGTTCTTGTTATAAAATTACATTTTAGTTCTATACATTTTTATTAGTAAGTCACCTAAATTTTCTCAGAGCACCCGTGCCCCTGGTCACCCGTGCCCCCACTCACATTCAGAACAGTCCCGCCACATACTCACTCACATCCCTAAATTTTAAGACTTCGTCTTTATCCATTTGAAATGTTCGGAGGTATGCTTCAGAAGTCAATCAGTGCTATTGATTAATAATGACGACCAGTCTTAACTTCAGTAACAAGCTAAATGTAACTGTCACATTTAAATAATTCGATTTTCAATTTTATTAAAATAAAAATTTATTGTATTTCAATCCTCCTTTTGCACGTTACTTTTTTCCACTTTCTGGTTATTTCTTGCACCTTGTAATAGTTTGAGGCAACGTCCCTGTGAAAGGAGATTGCAATGTCTATAATATTAATTGGATTTCCTTTTTTCTTTTTTCTACTTCTTGTTAATCACATTACGGGCGAGGTACAACCAAATGAAGCAGAGGCACTTTGCACATTTATAATGTAGCGTTCGATTGTCATCAAATGTAACATTTTCAGCAGTGATGTGCTTTGTATCCCTGGCACATTCCCTCTGGGACAATATATATATAAAACATACAACAGAAACAGAATAGAGTAAAATCTCAAGGCCATTAGATTTAGACTGGCTTATTCACCTAGTGTGAGATGTCAGGAATGCAAAGTGAATTAAATGTCAATTTAAATTTTTAGGCAAAAATAGAAAAATTTCTAAAATATCTGATTTGCTGAATTTTTCCAATTTTGCTATTTTAAATCCATGTTTAATTATTCACAATCCATAATTTAGTGAGTTCTCTTTGTTCGTTTTTTGTTTTCTCTTTTTAAATTATTTTTATTGCTTTATCTCCACTGTTTTGACCTTCATTTTCATGTTGATTAAAAAAGTCTAAACAACTCTCTGTTTAGTGACTAGACCCATATACTTAGATGATGAGCCTATCAGGTGTACAAACAATGACAGAATCTTCAGATAAGAAAGAGATTGCTCAATGTTTGCCGAATACAATACCCAGGAATAGAAAGCTGAATAATCAAGAGGGAAACAGTTACAGAATAAATGTGAGAGAAAGCCAGGCAGCGGGCTGCTGTAGACGCTGTGACGCAGTACTGAGTATTTATCAGATAAGGATACCTGGCAGTAAATGCGAGAGCAGGCGTTACTCGCAACAATAAATATCATTGTGATAATGTTAGAGCAGGTCTCGAGTCTACGTGACATGAGCTGCATCCCAGAGCAGCTGCAGGTGTGTGGGGGCGGTGTGGACTTTTGAATTATGCAGGTTTTTTTTTCTTTTAAATTGCTCATTGTGTAGATAAACTGTCTGTACAAATTTAGTAATTCTTTACAGTATTAAAGACTTACGTTTATATTAAAGGCTATGCGGAATGAGAGTCATGCTTTAGGAACGAGACTTAGGTCACTTTAGAAATTTGCTAAATATCAGCTAAGTTCTGAAGTAAATGACTGGCAGGTGAACAAAAACGACAATGATCAATTTCAGTATTCAGTGAAATTCATTGTAACATTCGGTGTAGGACTTGGTTTAGTATTTTTAGTGAACTCTTTCAAATGATTTCATGTTTTTGGATAAACTTTTGAAAATATTTCAATATTTCAAAAAATATTTCAATATTTTAATATTTTGACATTGTTTATATATTGTTCTTATATGATATATTTTAATATTATGGAAAAAAATAGTTTGAAGTTCATCTAAGAAAATGAAATCATTTGAAAAGCTTATCTAAACATATTAAATTAGGCCTTAATTTGGTATTATATATTTTCTAACTCTGACTCTGATGAGTTTGGATTTTAATTATAAAGGAACCTGAAGATTTTTTTTTAAATTAACTTGGCAGCTTCTCACTGCTTGAGGTTACATGAAAATGCATTATTCCTTATTAAAGAGGAAGGTAATGTCTCAATTCATGTAAATCATTAAAAGAAAGGGGGTCTTTATTGTAATAGTGATATCTTAGCTACAGCACACAAGTGGAAACGAGGAATAGATCTGACACATTTTGTGCCCATTCAACTTCCAAAACAGAACTGGCCCCATGCTGACGAGATCCACAAGGTCAAAACTGCAGTATGGGCTGATTTCTGGTTACTGATTATTTTGGATCTTAGTTTGGCTTAAAAAAATAAATAAAAAGCTATGTGTAAAACAGTGTCCATTGCTAAGCTAAGGGTATCTGCAGAAATACTGTATGAAATCGGAAACATAAGGCATGTCCTTTGCTCATTTGCATGTCAAGCTGGGGATTCTGGGATAGTTGGGAAAGCATGACTTATCGTGTTTCTATGCTCAAGAAAGACTTCTTATAACCCAACGTGAGGTAAGCAGGTAATGTATACCAGTTATTTCTGAAGTTTCACTGTGGGGAGTTTTTTGTCTCTACAATCATGTTGGTACCTAGCTAGTCCTGGGTTAAACAGATAAAATGTATTCTCTTTGTACTATAGATTGCAAGGGTTTATTCCCTGTGATAATGTGATGTCATGGCTTTGAATTGCTCAGAAGTTCATCAAATACATCAATGGTTTTTGGAAGCATTTTTCTAGAAGTGTAATCAGTACCTATATGTAAAATGCAGTATATCAGTCTTGCTACTTTCACTTCTCCTGTCTGGCTGACAACGCAGAGCTTTGCAAAGTAACCACATTCTGAATATTGTGAATTTCAGTGTGATACAGAGTTACATTTTACAGACAGGAGTATTTACAAAAAACTGAAAGAGTAATGGTCCATATCACCTGGACGGAAGGAAACTCCAACCCCTAATCCACCCCACCACCCTAAACCCACTGACATCCCCCAACCATTTTAATGTGGCCAAGTTATGGTTCCACTATAATGATACGATGAATAGATTTTAAAATAGAATTTTGCATTTTTGGTTCACCTTCATTTAGCTGAAATTAAATGCAGTTTCCTCTAAAAAATGTTTTGCTCATTAGTTGATTTGTTTTGATCAAAATGAGTCCATTATTTACAGTTTGGAATTTCCATTCGGACACGGCAAATCTTTCAGTGGTTTACATAATTACATAAGTTCCTAATTTAGTATCCTTACATGGGGATGCCATTGCTAAGGGTACCAAATTATGGAGGCATCTGTGTTTAGTCGATTGTTCCATATTTTGGTATCCTTAAATATGGCAACACTACTTAAGGGTACAACATCAATAGACAGCTGATTAAGATGTAAATGAACAGAAGCCCTTTTTAAATTTTGGCCGTTCGGTTGTCTAGTAAATATATCTCTTTAATTTGGTACCATGACTTTAGGAATACCACATGAGGAAGCTGTTTAGAAGATGGCGTACTTTTTAGCCCTTACCATGTTGATGCAGGTGCCTGCAATCCCTCCAGAGATCACCAATCAATGAATCATTGTATGTCTATGGGGGTGCATAGCGTCTGCACACAGAGACTGAACAGTTTTTGCACATTGCAATAAATACACCATGATACATATATGAATTCCACATGAAGTGCAGCAGAACTTTTCAGGTACCTTCCTACAGCATGTTAAAGGGAAATGTATCAAGGAAGACATGGTGATTCTGGCAATCATAACTCTACGTGAGAATCCGCAGAAAGCTTCAGAAAATGACTGCTACACTTACTACTTTCTAATTAGACTTTCAATCTAAAGAAGCATTCATTTTGATAAGCAGCAGGATTGTAAATATTAAAAGACAGCCGAATCCTTCTGCAGTCTCCTCTGGCACAGGGGGAGTTAAGCGATTACCATACTGAGGTCTGATTCATGCACATTTCCAAATTTCTGCTAAAATGCTGAGTAAGATGGAGAACAGCTGCTTTCTGTATGCCCCTGGTCTGCTGCTCCCAGCTATAAGCCGCCTTTCAGATTAAATTTGTGGATTGTTAAGCACATGCCAAATGTAAAACTCTGCTCTGGACTCTATAGCTATTTTCCTTGTTTTTTTCTTTTTCTACTTATTTAGCAAAAGGAGGGTTTAGGTAACGGGGTATAGTAGCCTGTTTTTAAGGCAATCTAAATCCCTTTATAGCCCAGTTAAGAAGCTTATGAAGGAGAAAATTAATTGGGATAATGGAAACCAAATGGCTGGATACTAATCCCGCTGAGAAACCAGTCCCTCGAAATGTCTGACACGGCATTTTTTGTTCTTTGTGTTCCATGGCTCAGCAAACTGCAGAGATTAGGCAGTGCAAAAAGTCGCCCAGTCTGCCTTGCTGTGACTCTGCAAAGTGTTCCTGTATTGTTAAAGGGATAGCGTCGCTTCTTCTGAAGCCTGGGCACCCACTTTAAATGCACCTGTCTTCTGAATGGCACACGACTGATCTTTATAGTGCATGCTGCTGCAGCTATATATTCGAGATCATTCACCAAAGTGTGAATTAATGGGAATTCAAAGTCATTTGAAAGATATTAATTTTACACTATAGACCAGGCATGTCCAACCTGCGGCCTGAAACCGCAGACAATGTGGCCCACAGCTGCAGTACCATCCGCACGTTGATTCAGGGACCCGGTCAGACACCACGGCTCTGAAATAGCGCGACCGGGGCCCCTGCTTTGTACGATGCCGCAGTGCCAGGAGGAAGTGATTACAAGTCACTTCCTCCTATCATACGAAGAAGCCGCACGGGAGAGACAAGCAAGGAGCAAACACAGAGACTCCTAACAGACTAAGCCAGATGCCACTGGACCCCCAGGGAATCCACCATTGAGCACCAAAAAGTTATGATAGCATGGGGGGGATAAAATATATATTGTAAAGGATGATCTCTTTGTGTAGTTTTGAGTATGTGTTACCAGTGTGTGTGTTATTAGTGTGTGTGTGTGTTATAAGTGTGTGTTATTAGTGTGCGTGTGTTAAATCAGTATGTGTTACATCAGTGTGTGTGTTATTAGTATGTGTGTGTTAGTGTGTGTGTGTTATAAGTGTGTGTTATTAGTGTGTGTGTGTTACATCAGTATGTGTTACATCAGTGTGTGTGTGTTAGTGTGTGTGTGTTATAAGTGTGTGTTATTAGTGTGTGTGTGTTACATCAGTGTGTGTGCTACCAGTGTGCCGGGAGGCACTTTATTTTCTACGTGGCTCAAAAAAAAAATTCTACACTCAATGTGGCCCAGAGAAGCCGAAAGGTTGGACACCAATGCTTTAGACCAAATTAGCTGAACCAAAAGATAAGAATATTTCCATTTGGACATTTTGACATAAATTTTAAATTGAAATCGAATCCCTGGCATCCAGACTTTGCTGTACGGCTGTGATTGGTAAATTAACTGCTAGCAAATGTATAGATGAAAATAGAATTTAACGTAAGGTTTAGGTGCGGGGTAGGCTACTTTCTGCTCTCCAGACAGGGCTGGATTTAACACAATGTCACTGAGGCCGTGATCCCTCTCAACGGCCAGCCCATTCTCCTACCTATGTGGCTAAGGCCAACAGGGGAAATTGCCACTGCAGGGCTGGTGCTCAAATAGAGGGAGGCTCTCCATCGCTTGAATTATATCATAACGGTAACATTTAGCAGCTGTTTAGTATTTCTACACAACTGATGGCAACTGCAGACATGCCAACACAATGTACCTGTACACACTAATAGGAAGGTATAGAGAAACCGTGTCCAGTTGTAACACTTACTTACATTAAGAATTGTGGAGAATTGAGGATTTGAGCACATTGCAGGTCAAAATGGCAAAATGTAAAAATGCCATGATGTAAATTGATTGGTCCTTAAAGGGTAACTGTCACCTCAGAACTAGTTTAAATATTTGAAATCAAATTTTGAAGAACATATATTTTTGGTTAAATAAAGTATTTGGAAAAAAAAAATATACAAGGAAAAACCTTTGGTATATGGCTGGATCTTTCAGCAAAATACATACAGTACACCTTGCATCAGACAGTGATGGAAAAAAGTTAGTCTCTATGGTTAGTCTCTAAGGTTAGTCTCTATGGTCTTCCCAGCTTCACTCCCTGCACAGCGCAGTGACCTCATCAGACCCAATAACTGTCGTCTTTAAGACATTTTCTGACCCCAGGTGCATGTATATGGCTAAAGGATCCTGTCTTACACTAATGGGTTTTATCATTGTTTTTTAAACATATATTTCATTTGCTTTAAACATTATTGACGTGAAATAGTTTTAATACTTTTAACATGTAAAGGGTTATTATATTAAAAACTGTTTTAGGAGAATTTGCAATTCATTATCAAGGTATCCAGAATTCCCAGTTCAGTTAATAAGCCCATGAGCCCATGAGCTTACAATCTAAAACAGACCGTGACACTGGAGACAACCAATCGTTAATGGCTGAAGAATTTAAAGAACATTCAGGAAACAAAGTATCGTTTATGATGAGATCCTGATAGCAAAGCAGACTGAAGAGGTAATGAATCTCTCTAATAAATAGGAGGTGGTGGAGACATGAATTGCTTTACCAAGTCACAGTGAAAACACCACTTAATATCTGGTTCCTGAAGTCTGTTTGCTTCTATGTGTAAATAATGTCTAGCAGTTATCATGGCACATTTGATCCCTACACAGAATTCTTCAATTCAGCAACGAGCAGACACTACCTGTCACCGCTTGGCTGTCTTCTATTGTGTCTGGGTCCCTGTGTAAAGATGGTAGTGCTGGGAAAATGACTGTTCTCTTTAGCCTAGACGCTGCTGGAAAAACAGGGCCGATGCCAGCATATCATGTGAAATCTAAGACTTCTACAGCTGACAACCCAGGTGGTCCAACGCCAAACTGGAAAATGTCTTGTATGCACCATTCACTCGGGGGATTAACGAACTAAACAGGAGTCTGATTGGGGAAGACCACTGAGAATTGATTTCTAGACAGACATAGACTTTGTCCAAAAAGAAGTTAGAACACAACATAAAGTATGCAACTATTTTAAATCAACATGTTGGCAATATTCATTCGTTAATGTTAAATCAGTTACATTATATATATAAAAAAGATTAATTAAGGAGAGTGAATTGGAAATCGATGGCCATGTACCCAGAGTATTATTTAAACAATGTTGCATTGCTTTATTTCTCTGATTTTATTCTGATTCACTGGAGATTCACAAAACAATCTGGATGTGGAAGAGTGGATGTAGATTTGGTCATAGGCTAATGTAATATTTACCTTTGTATGTTCACTGTAACTTCTATTTTTTTTTTTATATTTAATATAGTTTATTTTCTGGTGTTCTGCTTCTTGTCTATCCATAACTATTACTTAGTTTTCAACCTCTCGGTTATATACCCGTCACCATTTTCACTTCTTGTTTGCGTACCCCAATTTAGAATGTAACATTGCATTCCGTGGGCAGTATTTCCTTTAAATCATATCCTTTAAATCCCACAATCACCTAGACTTGGATTTGTTTTAGTCACAATGACAATTCATCTGAATTTGGGCACATGTCAGATTTCCGAACTCTGAGCTGAAATGTAGCCAGAACACAGTGCAATGGCCGAGCGTGCGTGTTCGTGATTCTGACTTCTGCCGAGGAGCCAAAAAGAGAGATAATTGATGGGAAAAAAGATGATTAATGGCTAGGGGACAGTCACTAAATGTTGATTTTATTTTCAGATCAACTGAGAACACCCCAATAGAGGAAAAAGGTGGAGCAGTAAACCCCTCCAGATTTAAATAGCTATATATTATATATTTAATACGTTTAAAATGTATAAACATGGATTTATTTTTGCTCCTACTGGTTATCTCTTTGTTGGTTTATTTTTCTCACTAATGAAATTCTGCTGAGCTGACCGACATATGGACAGAATTCGGGCATTCTGAAAAATCTTCTATTTTCAGGAAAAATGGGTCGGCAAAACTGAATTTTCTCACTGTGCAAAAGTCTGCTAACACCTAAATGACAATTCTCCCTCTCTACTGCTCGTTCATTGGATAGATATAAGGCTTTCGTAACTATAAGATAAGGCCAGGGACTAATGAAAGTATTTACAAAATTGGGCAGACTAGATGGGCCGAATGGTTCTTATCTGCCGTCACATTCTATGTTTCTTTTCTTGTTTTTACCTTAAAAAAACCCAAAAAACTATATTAAAGGTACACAAAGGTAAAGAGAGGGCAAAACATTATTAGAATAATATACTTATTATTATAATACTATTATAGTGCCATGAAGATCTAGAAGTTGCCTACAAGTGTGTGGGTCAGTTTTAGATCTTATGCCTTTTACGCATTTTTAGAATTCCCCATCAATCCCTTACAATCTCATCCGAATGCTGGTCAATGGAGCAAGTCGTTATTTTCTGGACTTGATGTTACACTGCAGTAGAGCCGCTTTGGCAGCTGCTGTCCATTCTGACATTTGTTCTCTCTTTCCCCTTTGGCTCGGCAAAGCTTTAACGCGAAAAATGGCTGGGAGAAAATATTTTAGAATAGATGGCAGTGGAAAGAGGGCATTTTTATTTTCCTTTCAACCTGGCATCAGTTTGAAACAGAACGTAAGAGGGAGCAAAATAAAAAGAATTTGTTTGCACATACCGATGGGGGCTGTCATCATCGCAGCCAAGAAATGGATCACATTGCTCCACCTGTACTAACTGCACACATCTGTTTCAGAGATGGCGCATCCACCAAGCGGCTGTATGTTTTGACAAATGATGGCACTAAAAACATTCCTGCTGTGGAAATATATTCATTCAGGTCAAAGCATTTAAAAAAAAAAAAAGATCACCCACCTTAAAAAAAAAAAAAAAATCCTTAATCATCCAAAATGTAAATGACAACTAAACAGCAGCAACTCTGATAAGAACGTGTATGTTGTAATTTTGAGAATTTTTTTTAACTTCTCAACTTTGACTTACTTTTCACAATATATTTTTAGCTTTACACAAGTCCCTGTTTATTAAAGTATACTGTTTATTGAATAAACATGTTCGAGTATATAATAAAAAGCAGATCATGGCAATATATAATACAGGAGATAGAGCACGTAGGACCATTCAGGGTCAGTGCACCAAAATCCCAGTATGTGTGAATATAAAACCCCTTATTTACTAGTCCACTGTAAAGCGCTGCAGAATTTGTTGGCGCTAAATAAATAATAACATAATAATAATAACATTATAATAATATTAAGAACCGGGGTGACATCATTACAAGCATAATTGCAAAAATACAATATAATATAACATATAAAACATGAGATATGATACATAATGTGATTGCTGCACAGGAGAGAGAGAGACAGAGAAACAAATTCCTTTAATACTGAAAAATCCAATTCCTCATTGAGACCATTCGGCCACAGAACCCAGCTTTAAAATCCAAATAATCCCTTTGTTAATTCTTACCACATCCCACTCTGGTGGAAGCCACTCTATTCCCGTCACCCTCATGTCTTTGCTATTGTGCACTACTTGAAATGCGAATAATAGCTGTAATGTGTAACATGAGGACAATTATCAGTGAGTTCCCAACCATTCCGAGATATGTATCCACTCCAGGTTTGAATATGACACCAGGAGACATAGAACCAAGACGTGTATAGGGTTTCACCCCTTACACTGGGAGCTGTCTGCACAAACCTATCTATTTCTTACTCAAAATGCAGATATGTGAGTGATCATCAAATGGCAACAATCTTATAAGGAAAATGTGAGGTTTCACATATAATTAATTAAGACACAGAGCTTTCTTAATACAA